ATATATATATATATATAATGTCTGAGAGAGAGAAAGAATATATGGAATAATTATTCACTTGGAACGAATGAGTTTCTCCAAGGGAGTTGCGGCCATGTCCGTGCATTCTTTGCTCGGCCCCTCCAACTCCGAATCATTTCCGGAATTTGACCTGGTGTCGACGGTCAGAATGGCATGGCTTCCACCGCAAGTGAAGTATTGGATCTCGAAGCTTAGAAGGCGAAAGATGGGAAAAAGGTTTTTAAAATAAAAATTAAAATAAAAATTTCTCTCGACTTCTTTCCCTTCCTCTCTCTCTCTTACCGTCGCTCCGCGTGATAATTTCTGAGCAGCTCGCGATTCGTATTGAACAGGACGCCGTGATGGCCGTTGCAAAGGGTGACCCAAATCGGCAAATTGGGGGTCTTCAAGCGGGAGCCGGGTTGTTTATTCGATTGTCCGTCGCCCTCGTGCACCAGGAATCCTACCTCGCTCCTGGCGAGGACGCCCCATTGCGGTACAGCCTTGAAAGTAAAAATCGAGAGAAAGAGGAGGAGGAGGAGGAGGAGGAGGAAACTTACGTATGTGTTTTCATCCCCAACGTGCAACACCCCGTTGTGAAGGTGAGGGGAGGCACGGCCCGTCAACGAGAAGATCACCACGCTCGTGGAGCCCTCCTCCGGGCAACCGCTCAACATCGAACCCCTTGGATTTTCCAGATCGATCTTCACTCTGGGAAAAGAATTTGTATTGTCGTTTATCGACTCGAGAAGGAGTAGAGGATGTTCATGCTTACTTGGAAAGCCCTCTGGAGAGTACAGCGCTGTACAGAAGCAATATAGCACCGGGACTACCCTCGTCTTGAAACTGTTGGATTACGGATCGTTATTGATATATATTCGAGAAATCGTGTTCGATAAACTTACCAAGTACAAGTATCGCTTCACGAATATCTCCAAGTCGTCCAAAGATTCAAATTCGAACAAATGGAGCTAGGAATTGGAAAATTCGTTCGATATATTCTTGGATTCGCGAAGATGAAGAAGACACGATGATGATTATGAGGAGAGGTGAGTAATATCTTAGAGTAATCGTTTGTTCGAATTATTATTTTGAATCACTTTTTTAAAATTGCTTTCTAAAACTCGAAACAATTCGAATATCTTGGTAAATCTAACAGACAGAGAAAAAATAAATTCTGAAACACATCCAGAAATTTTCAATACATCCAAAGACACTTTGCTCGCGGATATAGACGATAGACATGCGACGATCAACAATCGAAAGAGTAGTGTTACAGAATTTAAAGTTCACTGAAATTTTATATGTGATTTCATTATTGAATTTGTTTCTCTTCGATAGACCTACTTCAAATGTTTTGTAAACGCACAATCACGTGTAATCAAATATATTCATTCAGCTATACTCATATTTCATTTATTTTATTTATTGTTTTCCACTGGCCAGTCAACAAGTAGAATTTCAAGAATCGATCGTATCGAGAATAAATGGCACGAGTTTTAAGGATTTTTATATACGTACGGTCTCCGTGAGACCATCTTGAAAGTATTGCACGCTGTGCTGCACATAGGGTGTCTCTTGCGGCAAGACAACCACCGCCGTGGACACGTTCTCGTTTCCGCTTTGATTCGACGAGCAACCGATATTTTGCACGGCAAACCCGCCCGCGCAACGCCAAATAATCTCCGCTATGGTGGACGTCAGCGCGTCGATCTGCCTGTCGTACGACGGTCTCAACAGGCTAGGTTAAACCAGCAAAAAGTAATGAAATTTCCTTTCGAGGAAAAAGAGAATAATAATAATAATAACAATCTTTTAAAAACCTTTCAGGGCCAACGTGGCTATCCTGTTTAGATTTGAAGAGGAAATGTTTGAGCATCACGGCTTGTACAGCCGTGACGAGGGCCCTGGTCGTGTTCCTCGGCGCTCGCAATCCAAACGCCAAGCTTTGCCCGTAAGGTCGCAACGTGAATCCGGTCCTCGCCCATTCCGGCCTCGGTGGGGTGGCACAACTTCCGAAAACCAACGTTCTTAGAGCCTGAGAAACGCGTTTGAACGTTTTTAAAAAATTCAAAAGGAAAAAGAAAAAGAAAGGCTCTACAAAGATCAACGAATTACCATGCATGTCTTCTCGTCGATTGGTTTGCCTCCGACGACAGCTGTTTTGGTCAACGTTCTCGTATTCCTGGGGTATATAATCTTTTCTGGAAAAAAAGAAAAGAAACAGATGTAGATGAAAACGTTGCTCGGTTAATTCTTTTCTTCGAGAAAATTCTCCACCTGGATACAACTCGTCGGGCTCCGCCATCAGAGCTGCACACCTCGCCGATCTGGTAGACAACGACATTGAAACGCGATCTTAATTCTTTTGAGCAGAGGAGGGATATATATATGTGTATATAAAAAAATAAAAAGAAAGAAAAGAAAACAGAGAAATCTTTCCACGAATGAATATTCAAAGACAAAGAAATAGATATGTATTTAAAGAAGATGTTTCAAATAGGGAAAGATGAAAAGTTGGAGAGATTATGTCACCGACGACGATGCTCACTGGCACAAGCCTCGCATCAAACTATCAAATATCAATTCGTGCCGAAATCCAGCCTTTTATATAAACCGATCCTAGGATAGGAAGGCGACCAAACTTTCGAGCCGCACGAAACGCGTCACTTTGGACGTCCAAAGACACTTTGCTCGCGGATATAGGCGATAGACATGCCCTAATAACGTCTATCCGTCGTATTTGCCGTGTAAACGACGTGTCTCGGTCTCATGCAACCTGCTCAATCCTTTTCTCTCAACGGCGCCCATAAGTAGCAAAATAGTTGCTTTTCCCCCTTTTCGTTCGGGGAATAAATTTCAAACGCGAACGTGAACGGTGCATTTTCATGAGATTTCATGCGCGCGAAGCATGGAAGCGCAGTTTCTCGCCAGTTTGGAATCATAGCGATATATAACACTGTTACATATAACACTAATATTATACGTATTTATTATACACATCATGCCGAAGATCATTTTTAATAAAGAAAATTATACAAATCGAATCATTAAACATATATTAGATTTGGTAGATGGATATGAAAGTTGTCGCAAAATTGGATTAATAGGGATAAATTTTTCTGCGCAGTTGTTGTGCGCAATTACTCGAACCGTTGGATACAAAACTAGCTTCCGCAATCTTGTATCTGGAGCGGAGGTTAATTGACAACGGAAAATAGTATATCTTATTTTAAACCGTAATAATAATCCGTAAGTTTAACCGTAAAGTAATCACATATATCGGATCTGTACCTGTATGTCGTTTTTGTATCGTTGTTTCGCGTGACACGTGAACTTTAAAAAAACGTATAAACATACAAATACGTTACGAGAATCGGCCGCTCTTAACCTATTTTCTGTTACGAGATTCACTTCTCTCCTCGTATAAATACATAATAGTTTCGGTACCTGTCTCTGGTTATTTCTTTGTAAAAAAAAAAGTAACATCCTTCTTTTCCAGGAAAGAAAATTGAACCCTATTATCCAAATTTAATTTTAATCGAAAAAAAATGTCATTTTTTCTTTTAAATATCTATCATTCTTTCGTCCATCTCTATCAATCTATCGTCGTATGATACGAATAAAATACATCGCGAAATTCGTATAGAAGTAAAGAATAATCGAAATAGAATTTTGCACCATAAAATGATGTAATGACGGATCGTAATAACATCTTATTTTACAGACCAAGGAATAACGGGGATTTGCACTCTGACACGTACGTATATATGTACGTATATATATATATATATACAGTCTCGAACGTACTTTTCAGAATCGCGTGCTCGCGTGTAATCGAGTCTATCGAATTACGAATTCGCGTCGGAGCAAGCATCTGCATTTCCAGATTACACCTACCGATGTAATGCAGTTTAATTTGCCCTCCCCCCTCCAGAGATTCATTGATCTAATTCGAGCAGCTAGCACTTGACGATTCTTGACGACAAAGTCATCGATGAAACCATGTTTCGAGAGGATGAAATTTAATTCATTCGGTGAGTATTTTCCGCTTTCCACGCATTATTATATCGTATACGCGAGTAACGAGTACTATTACTATTTTAGTGCGTCGAACCGAGTTGAGATAAGATTATACGTGCTTACATTACGTGCTCGTAACTTTTGCATTTGTATCAAAGAAACGAAGGTTTCCTGCGTACAAAGGATAAGTTTTGAATAGTTTGGTTTTTTTTTTTTATCTATCGCGTATATATATTGAGTGAAATTTAGTGGATTAGCGATCGATAATTGGTGAGCAATAATAGCACGTGCGATGATAAATTGCAGTTTTGCGCGCAATTAGGAAAATTTGAAATTTTCGTCGCTGATCAATCATCAGGCGAATCAACGAAATCGCGTTTGGACGAGGAATCGTGTACCGATTCCTCGAGCATCGATCTTCTTAACTCAGTTTAAAGTTCATTTGCGAACAAGTTCCTGATCGATCTGATATTTGCAAGCAACATAGAGAATCGTACCTTTCTGGCGAAGGTACGCCGGCTTCTCCGAACGCATTTCCGTGCACCGTTTCTTGCCACGCACCGACGCCGATGACGAACACGTGGATGTCGAACACGAGTTGCTACTCTCCTCGATTTCCTCCGATCTTTCCTCCATATCTTCCACTTTTCTCAAAATCCACACGCGAGACTCGGAAACGCTTTAAACTTCTTCTAACGATCGACACTTAAAACCCAAAATAGCTTCGTTTGAACGTAACGACATCGTCGAAACGATTCATCAATTCTCTGTATGGAAAACGATTGTAATTTATTAGATAGTATTGAATGAATTTAATATTTTTAACATTTTTTTTTTAGAAAGATATCGAAGAGACTATATCAAGAAAGGGGATTTAAGATTATGCGAGAAGAGTTTTCAAGCGTCAAAAGTTTATCCTTCGCGTTTGAATCTTTATGAAATCGGTTTTTCTTGAAATGGTGTTAACAAGTGGAAGAAGCAATCAAGTGTTCTTTGCTGGATCGAGCTACCTAGACTGACAGGAGTTAATAATTCTGGTAGCTTTTGAGTCGGTTCATCGCGCCGCGCACGAGCTACCATCCCACCAAGGTGTCGGATACGTATATGCATAATACCATGAACTCGAGAATTTGAAGGCTCGAGTAATATAACGTTTCAGGAAATCCGTGATTCAATAGCTGAAAAAAAGGTTTCGTGCGTCAGACTGACGTCCAAAGTTTTCTTAACTAAAATCTTAACTATTTAGCATCCAGTTAAAGTTCTGATATTGATCGATGAAAATATCAAAAGATTGAAAAGATTTATTATTATTTTATATGATATAAAAATACAAAATGTATTTATATATGATATAAAGATAGAAATAAAAAGTATATTATGTATAAAATATACATAAAATTTATATATGACATCAATACAAAAAAATATATGATATGATATGATATGTAAAATATAAATAAAATATATGTAATAAAAATGTAATTTTTTTTCTTTAGTATTTAATCGGTAACGCTATCTTTTTGGAAAGTATTCAAGCTTGTTGCGAATTATTATCGACACTAAAGTGAACTTTATTGATGGTGTTTAACTACTAGTGCCATCTTTTTAAAAAATATTCAAATTGTTTAATATCGCATTAATGTTGTTAGTATCTTTGAGAGAAATCGCAATTTAGTTTAATTCATAAAAAAAATTTCTTGATTTTATTCAAATAATATACTTTATTGCCATTAATTATGTAAAAAGTTTAAATATATTTCAAAGAGATGGTATTATTAGTCAAAGACCGTTAACGAAAGTAATTTTGCTGTCGGTAAGAATTTGAACAAGTTTAAGCATTTTTTAAAAAGATAGTGCTATTAAGTTAAAAAAAAAAGGAAAAAAATGTATTTTTAAAAATATTGTAAATACATATATTTTTTATATATAAATTTACTTTATATGTAAAGATTGTTCTCTGAAATTCTTGATCAAGTCAAATGTACTTTTATATATAGATACATGCAATCTCGTAGAATAATTATTTCGATATCGCAACCTGATTCGCCTCACACTATCTCACTTTTATCGTAGTTATCAATCTTTGCATGAATTGTATGCAGAGTTTCATTCGATCGAAATAGATAATTATGAACAATGTTCACAATTCTGTTTGATATTACAATGAAAAAGATTTATTTTTTTCAGATAATCTATTGAAATATTTCTTAAAGAGTAATAAATTAAAAGAATGAATTAATTTTTGTCTTTTTTTTGTATGATATTATTAAATTTAAATAATTAGAATTAAAAAGAAAGATATCTTTAAGAAAAATACATGCAGAATTTTTGTTTCAAGTAAGTAATTAATATATTAATAATTGAAAATATGTTGTTTCGATATATAAAAAATATATGTATTTACAATATTTTTAAAAATAAATTAAATTTAAAAAATTTATCATTAAATTAAACATTATCAGATCGTAATTTATATATCAATTAGGTACAATTCTACACTTATATTCTCATTCATCAAACTTCGTGACGGCAACATGATTAATCCACTCTATTGTAATTATCAATTTTATTGGACTAGTTAAATTCAAGTTCATGCTGGTTTGAAATAGGCACTTTATATTCGGCCTTCAAAAGTTTCGAATTCGAGCATATCGTGTATTTATATACTATATATGTATGTGCACGCACACTTGAGATATGATGCAGAAATACGCGCATACAAGGTTAATGTTTGCATACAAAGTTTCATAACATATATCATAATAATTAAAAAATATAATATAGTCGTATTAAATATGATACTGATGGAGATTATGTTATTAAAATTAATATAATTATATTTAAAAACTTGAAGTTGGATATCTTTTTAATATTAATCATTTAAAAATGAGATTTAAAGCTTTCCTAGTACTTGATATCTAAAAAATAAAACAATGATTATTATTTTTGACTGATTTAATTATTTGATAATTTATTATTGTGAATAGAAATTATTTGTGTGATGTATATATATATTATCAAAGTACAAAATAAATTGAACTTAGTCCAGGCTGATTGGGAGGCGTATTATTAGAAAGGAGGTTACAGATTATTACGTGCAACTACGACTATTTGATTATTGAATAATCGATCGAATTTATATGTTTTTGCAAAGATAATTATAATCAAGTTTAAGATGTTTTCTATATTATTTATATATTTTTGTATAAACTTGACACAAAAAATATAAATATAAATTTTAAATGTATATTAATATATAATATATTATATAAATAGAATATTTAAACATATTTTACAATTACACAAGTATCAAAAATTTACAAAATAAAAATGAAAAGAGAAACATGTTCTGTTTTATGTATTAATCAAAATATTATTAATAAATAATAATATATTTTATCACAAAAATTGAATAAATGACAAATCTTTATAATCATTATTCAAAAAATCATCTTACATATTTACAAATTTGTTCATATGGTAATTTTTTTACTATAGTATTATCACTTTCCAATTTTACATCTATACTGTAATGTTCTATGTGAAGCTTATGCACAATACCCTTCATTGCCTTATATTTTCCCCAAAGAATTATAACTTCTTTTCCTATAGCAGGTATTACAGTCTCTAGATACTCTTGATCTATTTTTATAACATGATTCTCAACTTCTTCGGGTGATCGCAATTTAACTTTTCCAATGAAATTCGAATTTTCAACAGATTGAATAATGCCTTTAGACTTATAATATTTATCCCCAAGAGTCTTAGTTATTACTTTTACCATTAAACCCTCTCTTAACCATCCTTCTGTATTATCATTATCATTATTAAGTTTTGATTCACCTTTTTCTATTTTTGCTGAACTCGTTTCCTTATCTCTATATTCTTTATTTGGTTCCTCAGACTTTATATCAGAAATCATGGAAGTCGATTCATTACTGGTAGAATCTTTATCTATTTTTTCTTGTTTTATAATGGGAAGTAATTTTGGTTTTTTATTTATTTTCATATTAAGGACTAAAGGTGCATCATTGTCAAGTCGTTTAAGTGGCTCTTTAATATTTTCAGATTGTTCGTTACTTTCTTGTTGGCCTTTTTCTACTTGTTTTTCTATAAATTCCATCATTCTTTCTTCATCATCTTTATCCATTTTTTGTTTTTTAGCTTTTCTTTCTTGCGCTGCAAGTGTTTCTGGATCCCTGTCAATGTATGTTACGTACCAGCCTAAAAATAAAAGAAGCAATAATTAATATTACTTTTATTTAATTAAATATTTATTATTAGTAGAAATATTAAATTTTATACAAATTACCTTTCTCTGTTTCATCGACAACACACTGTCCAGTACGTCCAAGCCATTTAACAAATGCAGTCAATGTAAGCCAAATTGTAGCATTCATATGTATATGTCCCCGGTCTGAGATATATTCTTGATAAACGCGATTAGCAGGCACCCTTCTGGTACCAAATTGTCTTTTTAGTAAATTTAAATAACCCTGAGAAAACTCTTTTGAAAACTGATCCATATAACGAGAAGCATTATCAGCAAATAACAGTAATTGTCTATGATGAGATTCTGACATTGTATGACATTTGAATCCATTTTCGTCTCTGCACTGTTTTTGACACATTTGACAATACCATCTTAACTTTTGCAAGCCTTTTGCCTTAATTTTATTAGCAATATATTTTGGTGTTCCTACTTCGTGTTTACCCATTTTGATACCTAACTAACCTAAAATTCGTACACTGTGTACATATCGCAAATTAGTAGGATTCTGCAAGTATAGAGGGCAGAATCGTTAGTATATATGCGATACTAGTGCACTCTATGTTATCTATAAAATTTTCTTTATTTGATATAATTATTTTTTATATATTTATTAATAATGTTTTATTTCAACAATAAAAATTTCAATAGTATAAATCTTTCATAATTAATTAATTGAGATTAACATGTGATTTTTCGGTCATTTTAACCTAACTTTTTTATTTTATTCTATTATTCTATTTATATAATTATATTATTATTTCTTTTAATTTGTAAATTTTTATTGGTAAAAAAACAATAAGATTTTTTCTATATTAAAGAAATAAATGTAAAAAAATGAAAAAAATATTCGAAACCAGAGGAATCTTATTTATATTAATTAATTGTTGATTAACATTGATAATTTTTAAGAATTAAAAATAAATTAGAATTAAAGATAGATTATGCCAAAAATTATAATAATTAGTGACAAAAAAAATTAAATAAATGTAAGTAAATAACTTACATACCTGTATGTAAGTTACCATACCATAATGTAGATAAGAAATATATTGATTGAAAAGAAAGAAGAAAATAATTAAAATCAAAAATTAAATCTAAAAAAGAAAAAAAAAGGTAAATTTTTAGTCCTTTTTATTTTTGAAAAAATTGTTATTCTTTTTTTTGTTTTTTTAGGAAGAAATTTATTAAAAGATAAAAAAAATAAAACAATTAGTATTTTTTTTACATTGTCACTGAGATACATTCCCTATTCGATATCAATAAACATGTAGGGGTAAACGTTTGGCGAAGATACGAAGTGATCGAATACCCACACCCTCGAGTAGGAGTGGTCGGTTCTGTTGTTAAAGTAAATCCGTTTCGACATGATAAACGACGTTTGCGGATTATTAGAATCGTTGCAGTCTGTTTGCGTTTACTTTTCTAAAATCACCATCTTTAATCCATCCCATATGCCTTGGTCAAGGGAATCCATCTTTTTGTTTTCATTCAACCATCTCCAATCGTTCTTCTTCAAATATTATTAATATTATTCTTATAATTTTATAAAATATTAATATTAATATATTCTTTTTTATAAACTAAAGAAAAACAAAAATAATATAATATTTGTAAATCGAGAAGATTTTTTTTAAAAGTCACTGCATTTATATTATGCATATTGCAGATTCGATCGCAATGACTGGAATAATTTAATCGACAACAAAGCTGAGGTATCTCTTACGAATGTTAGTTAACGAAAGAGAAGAGGATTAGAGATGAACACGGTACTTGCACCCATCTAAAACTGGTCTCTCCGTCCCCTGGGTGCAATATATCAATTCTCTTCACCCCACCAATGTTGCATGGTAGCAGGTGGCTCCTGACGGCCACGCTCGTTCGCACCCTTAATTCCCAATTAATGTTATATCCGTCGTAAACGTATGCTTTACCTATGTTGCGTAACTTGTAATACTGAATTATATATTATAAATCATGATAAATAAAAAATATAAATTAACGTAATGGAAAAAAATCTGAAGCATTTTGTGCACAATTTAATGGAAGTTTTTCTTTCTTTTTTTTTCTTTTATTATTTCGAAATAATAGTATTATTAATATATATATTTATAATATATAATTCTAAAATTTTTCACTTTTATTAGTCACGATTAAACGGAATTTCGAAAGAAAATAAATTTTCACATTTAAATACTATCTTTTAGTATTGTTGTATATAAGAGAAATTTAATTCTGATTTCAGAGACTCTTTAAGCATAATTTTCACAAATTAAGAATCGATTAAGAGTGGCTTTCAGAAGTAACTGTCTATCTTCACCGAATTACGAGCTATCGAGTTTCAAGATTACCAAATTTCACGGTCTAACGCCTCCATCTGGAATAGTATGGGGTCTATCAGGGGTGTAGTGTAATTGAGGTATCATCCCTGTCCACGTCCTAATTGGCGGAAAATTGTTAGGGCGAATGTCCAAGGAACTCGAGTTAAATATATTTAATCAATTCTTTCAATTATTTCATTATATTTCCTTTTTTTTCAAGAAAATTCGAGAAAATTATGATTCATAATTGATAAAAGCAATCTTTTAAATTCTTTTTTCATTCAATACAATTGACTGATAATCCTTAAGAGTAAAATTTGGATTAAATATCTATTTATATTTCTATTCATGAGAGTAACGACTTGTCTGAATTTGATAAATCTCCCACTTGAATCATAACTACGAGATACGTGGTGATCGTTCCAATGACCTAGAAAATCACAAATTACGTTAAATATATATAAATTTTATTCGATCAAATATACGTACTCCTTGGATAAACGAATGATCCAGATTGAAGAATCCATATGCCGTAAATACCACTGGATTTTGTATCAATTGTAGAGTGAAATCTCGAATCTAAAAGAATCATTTTCAAACCTTAAATTAACATTTTATATGAATTTTATATTTTTCTTTCGTATTCGAATTCAAATTTTTACCTCCGCTTGAAATTCTTTGGTTGTGAATGGTTCATAAAACTCACAAATAATATTGCCAATATTTACTGCCTGTAAAAATTTATAATTCGATTTTAAATATACACGTAACATATCTTCTTCTAAAAGGCTTATCAATTTGCATTCAATATATTCAATAGAAAATGCTCATACCTCTGAGTTAGTGCTGGCACAAACGTGATTCACGTACAAAATTTGGGACCCATAAATCAATATCCAAAAAATCACGGAGATCAATTCCTGTACAAGCTGATTGATGGTAAAATGCAGCCATATAATCCTGTACAACAGGTGGAGAAGATTGGTGGTGAAGATAACCGACACTGTCATCTGTATCAGGATCTGTATTCCGAATGTTTGATTCAGAAGGCTCACGATCTTGATTATCTCCAGATGGATTTGCCTTTGTGAAAAACGAAAGTGTAATCGTAAATCGGTAAATTTTTATCTAATGATAATTCTCATTTTGATCTCATCGTAAAATCTCACTTTACTGCTCTTATAGTGTTCGTGTTCCTTATTACATGTTCATTCCTGTACATAGTGAATCTGTTCTCGAAATTGTTCGTCATTTCCAACACTCTTTTGTGAATTGGCGATTCTATGATTCTCATACTACGAAGTAACTCGTTCAACTGATGAAACTTTAATTTCAAACACCTGAATAACGTACGTATTTTATTTTTTAACGTTTCGTTGAAATATCACTGTTTAAATCAATCTTAAGGCCCAAGTAAAACATGTTCAAGATTGATTTAAACACTTGTTCATTTATTCCTTGAATGTTTCATACGTGACCCAGAAGCAGAAAGAGATGGTGCTAATGCCGAACACTATGAACGGAACATTCGGTAAAATGGAAAGGCATAATTTAATAAGCACTGGCGTGGTTGATTCGTAATGCCAATAGTAGATCAACACGACGAAAATGAACGTGTATATTCCAAGAAATATGTATCTTTTGATCTGATACATCATCAGGCAACGATGCTTCGGTGACAATCCTATGTTTTCCATTTTTTGATCGTTTAATTCTACAAATGACACTACTGTCCGTAATTGCTAAAATATGAGACAATGTATCAAAGTTACAAACAAAGTTTTTTGTGTGAATATATATATATATGAATTTCTGTTGCAAAGAAATTGAGGTTAACTTATCAACAATTTCCTCTATTGTGCAAAATTTATATTTGAATTTATTTTCAGATCCAACAAAAAGTAATAACAGGAAGAAATTCGAAAAAGCGTTTAAAATCACCTGTGCTTTTATCCTGGTAATGATAATCAACAAGGCTATCGTCCAAATATTCGCGTGGAACATCCATTGAAATATGAAACGACTTAGCTCGAATGTACTGATGACATAGAATTTGTCGTAATAAGGCAAGGTTAATTTATTGATGAAGTAAAGTATCACCAGATTGCATATCGTGTAAATATATTCGAGTATCTTCGAGGGTTTCTTTGCCTCGATACCGGTCAGACCCATGCCGAAGATGAAGTTTAATATCATCAACGGTTTGATGGTTTCTTTGAGAGTTTTCGACTCGTACATGGCGAATGAAAAATGAAACTGGATCAACTTAAACGCTTCACACCTTCGTTGTTTATTTTATTCATACATCATCGTATATTTACCCGACAGGTAGCAAGAGATCGTTATCACATCATGGTTATCGTATAAGTAGTGCTGCTAAGTAATAACGAGCACAACAATTGCTCGTTCATATCCGAATCGATATCGCGGTGAAAGTATTGTTAACAAGAATAATGGTTAATGATTAACTAGTCTATCGAATGGAAATGCGATTCAAGAATGTCTTAATAATATTGTAAAAGCGTTTTTCTGGATATGATCTTCCGTAAATCATGTTATATCTATTTCTGAAAAAAAATCTGAAAGTTTATTAAAAATGAATAATAATTGTTTTGAATTTAAAATCAAATCAACATCAATTGAAAGAATATTTAGTATTCACTGTTTTTAACTGCATATTTTACATTCTTGTATTTATAATCTTATTAATCGACAAGTATGAAAAATTATATTTAAACGTCGATCGAACTTTGATTCGTCGTTTGAACGTTGCTCAAATTGTAACTCGTCACATTTTCCACTGAAATGTGATCTTTTATCGATGAATTTTGACTCCATTGTATCATGATAATAACGTAAGACAACATGAAACTTATACACTGAAAAAAAAAAATCTTGTTAATAAACTATAAAAAAAGAAGAAAAATCGTGTAATTAATAAACTATAAAAAAGAATACTAACATGGCGAATGTAACAATAATTGATTTTATAATCAATCGTTTTTGATTCTTCAAGTCGTGTGTACGATATTTGAAAACAGAATTGAAGAAACTGTGAATAAATGAATTATTACGTTATATTTTTTTCAACAAAATTTCACTCAACATATCAAACAGTTAAATCTTATTCACCTCATTTTTTAATTCA